TGACACTATACAAACCTTCACACTAAAAATTAACACCCGACACTATACAACCCTTTACACTAACCAATTAACACCTACAATATACAAAACTTCACACTAACCATAACACCCGCACTATACAAACCCTCAACTAACCATTAACACCTGACACTATACAAACCCTTTACACTAACCACTAACACTGACACATACAAACTTCAACTAACCATTAACACCTGACACTACAAACCTTCACACTAACCATAACACCTGACACTTATACAAACCTCAACAACCACTTAACACTGACACTATACAAACCTTTAACTAACCATTAACACCTGACACTATACAAAACCTTCACACTAACCACTAACACCTGACACTATACAAACTCCAACTAACCATTAACACCTGACACTAACAAACCTTCACACTAACCATTACATGACATATACAAAACCTCAACAACCATTAAACCTGACACTATACCAAACCCTTTAACTAACCATTAACACTGACATATACAAAACTTCACACTAACCATTTAAAACCTGACACTATACAAACCCTCAGACTAACCATTTTAAACCTGACACTATACAAACCTTCACACTAACCATTAACACCTGACACTATACAAACCTCAGACTAACCATTAACACATGACACTATACAAACCTTCACACTAACCATTAACACCTGACACTATACAAACCTTCACACTAACCATTAACACCTGACACTATACAAACCTTCACACTTTCAACAACTGACACTATACAAACCCTCAGACTAACCATTAACACCTGACACTTGTCAGGTGTTAATGGTTAGTGGAGATTTAAGGCTTTAAGTGTATCTTCATACGCGAGATTCCTTACACAGTAAATCATTTTGGTCGTTCTTCTCTGCATGGTCTGTAATGAGTCTATATCCATCCTTTAGTAAGGAGACCAAAACTGAGCAGCATAATCTAAATGAGGCCTCACTAGTGATGTACAGAGCTGTAAAATAACTTTTGGACTTTCTGTTACTTATACTTCTTGAGATAAATCCAAGTAATCTGTTAGCTTTGTTGCGCACACTAAGGCACTGCTGTCTTGGCTTTAGATTTCTGCTTACCATGACTCCCAAGTCTTTTTCACATTCTGTATGATCAAGCTCTACTTCACCTAGATTATAGCTTCGAGGGTTATTTTCATTACCAAGGGCAAGTACCTTACACTTATCCACATTGAACTTCATCTGCCACTTTTCAGACCAAGACATTTTGTCCAAATCGTCCTGGAGTTCATTGATATCCTCCTCAGAGTGAATTATACGGCCTATCTTTGTATCATCAGCAAACTTACTCATGTCACTAGTAATCCCTTCATCAAGGTCATTAATGTAAATTATGAACAAGAGAGGGCCTAAAACTGATCCTTGTGGAAAAAAACTGATCCTTGTGGAATATACTAAACATCAACACCTGATACTATACATCAACACCCTCACACTAAAAATCAACACCCACACATTAAACGTCCAAACTTTGGAGTAAACATCAACACCCTGACACTAAACGTCACTATCTGACATTAAACATCAACACCTTGACATTAAACATCAATGCCTGAGAGTAAACATTATCATCTGACATTAAAAATCAACATCTGACATTAAATATCAACACCTGACAGTAAACATCAACATCTACCAAATTTCTATAATTTCAGACATAACTCTAACTCTAATATTTGACTTCGAAAAAACCATCAACTGCGTGACCCATGCACTCTGTCCCAAGCCCTGACTCATGGAACTCGTATTCATCAAGAACTGAAAGACACTACTGTCTCTTGCCCTGAATGTCCTGTGGAGAAGAAGCCTACAAACAGGATTCATCCCACAGTCTATACAAAAAATCAAAAATCAAAAATCAAAATCTCAATAAGTGCTCAACCCAGGGCAGTATGGGGTTAGAAGAGGTTGCTCCTGCCTCTTGGAATTGCTTGATCATTACATGGTCTTAGATGCAGTGGAGAACAAAGAAAATGTAGGTGTAATGCACTTAGACTTTGCAAAACGTCTTCGGCAAGTGTGATCATGGTGCAATAGTTCATAAAATACGTGCAAAGGAATAACTGGAAAAGTGGGCCGTGGAATATTTCATTTTCTAAGGAAAGGAACCCAAAGTGTAATAGTATACAGAGTGAAATTGGAGGTTGACACATTGAAAAACTCTATTCCCCCAGGCACAGTACTTGCCTTTGTTCTCTTTTTCATTCTCATATTCGACAGTGAGATATAAATCATAACATCGTATCATTCTCAACAGACGTTACTAGAATCTGCACGAGAGTGGCATCCATTTGAGGACACATCAAATCTTCAAGATGATATAGTCTTCCAGTGGGCCACTGACAACACTATGATTCTCATCAAAGGACAAGTTTCAGTTACTCCGTTATGGAATGATTGAGGAAATAAATAAGGAAATAAAGACCGGAAAAGGAGTACAAGATATAAAACAAACTCGAATCACTCAATAGAGCCTAAAACCTACGTGAGAGATTTAGGAGTGATTATGTCAGATTATGTCACCTTCAAGGATCACAAAGGTGTCACTATCACAACTGAAAGGAAAATGATGGACTTGATAACTAGAAAGTTCAAAACAAGAAATACCAAACTAATGACACTATTCAAGTTGCTTGTTCCTTTTAGGAAGACGAAAGTGCAGACCTGGAGAATGTGCAGAGTACTCTCACTGCTCACACAAATTCAGTTAAACGCCTAAATTACTTGGAACGTTTGTAATCTCTCGATCTGTACTCCTCGCAATGTCGTTAAATATTCCCCACGAAAGTAAGAGGCCGAGCAGACAATGTAAAATACCCCCTGTTAAAAGAAAGGGTGCCATCAATAAGGAAAAACTCAATAAGTGTGAAGGGACTAAGCTTTTTCAACACCCTCCTCTCATACATAAGGGAGATTACCAACAAACCCCTGGCTGACCACAAGAGGCCTGGTCTGGGACTGGGGTGCGGGGGCCCTTCACCCTCTGGAATACTCTCCATGTAGATTCCGGGTAGACCTGACACTAAACATCAACACCTGACACTAAACATCAACACCTGACAGTAAATACCACATGACACTAAACATCAACACCTGACACTAAACATAACACCTGACAGTAAATATCACCTGACACTAAACATCAACACCTGACAGTAAATATCACCTGACACTATACATCAACACCTGACAGTAAATATCTGACACTAAACATCAACACCTGACAGTAAATATCACCTGACACTAAACATCAACACCTAACAGTAAATATCACCTGACACTAAACATCAACACCTGACAGTAAATATCACCTGACACTAAACATCAACACCTGACAGTATCACCTGACACTAAACATCAACACCTGACAGTAAATATCACCTGACACTAAACATTAACACCTGACAGTATCACCTGACACTAAACATCAACACCTGACACTAAACATAACACCTGACAGTAAATATCACCTGACACTAAACATCAACACCTGACAGTAAATATCACCTGACACTAAACATCAACACCTGACAGTAAATATCACCTGACACTAAACATCAACACCTGACAGTAAATATCACCTGACACTAAACATCAACACCTGACAGTAAATATCACCTGACACTAAAACATCAACACCTGACAGTAAATATCACCTGACACTAAACATCAACACTGACAGTAAATATCACCTGACACTAAACATCACACCTGACAGTAAATATCACCTGACACTAAACATCAACACCTGACAGTAAATATCACCTGACGCTAAACATCAACACTTGACACTAAGTATCACCTGACGCTAAACATCAACACTTGACAGTAAATATCACCTGACACTAAACATCAACACCTGACACTAAGTATCACCTGACGCTAAACATCAACACCTGACAGTAAATATCACCTGACACTAAACATCAACACCTGACAGTAAATATCACCTGACACTAAACATCAACACCTGACAGTAAATATCACCTGACACTAAACATCAACACCTGACACTAAGTATCACCTGACGCTAAACATCAACACTTGACAGTAAATATCACCTGACACTAAACATCAACACCTGACAGTAAATATCACCTGACGCTAAACATCAACACTTGACACTAAGTATCACCTGACGCTAAACATCAACACCTGACACTAAGTATCACCTGACGCTAAACATCAACACTTGACAGTAAATATCACCTGACACTAAACATCAACACCTGACAGTAAATATCACCTGACACTAAACATCAACACCTGACACTAAGTATCACCTGACGCTAAACATCAACACCTGACAGTAAATACCACCTGACACTAAACATCAACACCTGACAGTAAATATCACCTGACGCTAAACATCAACACTTGACAGTAAATATCACCTGACACTAAACATCAACACCTGACACTAAGTATCACCTGACGCTAAACATCAACACCTGACAGTAAATACCACCTGAACACTAAACATCAACACCTGACACTAAACATCAACACCTGACAGTAAATGTCACCTGACACTAAACATCAACACCTGACACTAAACATCAACACCTGACAGTAAATGTCACCTGACACTATATATCAACACCTGACACTAAGTATCACCTGACGCTAAACATCAACACCTGACAGTAAATATCACCTGACGCTATACATCAACACCTGACACTAAGTATCACCTGACGCTAAACATCAACACCTGACAGTAAATATCATCTCACACTAAACATCAATATTTGACATTCAACATCACCCTGAAAATAAACATCAACATCCTGAAAATAAACATCGACACCGTGTTGAGAGTCAATATCAACAGCATGGTGACATAAAACATCAAGACCCTGACACTAAACATCAAGACCCTGGTGACACTAAACATCACCTGAGAGTAAACATCAAGAGTAAACATGGAGAAAGACGGTGAGAGCTTCACCTACTTCATCATGTAGACAGCAGGGGGGAGAGGTGTATTCTCTACACCCCGACACCTGGGGGCAACTCCTCACTGACTCGTCAACACTGCCTCCTCCTTACCTGAAACAAACACAAACTCCTATATATATGGTAATATCTTCAAGGATCACCGCCCCTCTGGCCGAACAAATTTCTAACTGTTACAGGCATGAGAACTATCACATTAACGGTATGCATAAATCTTACAATACTGACAAGTTGACGAGTGAGAAACACGTACAAAACGTGTTGCACATGTGGAGGAAAATCAAATTATTATTATTATATATTAACATATTTATTAGTTAGGAGTCACATAACACCTGGACAATGGAAGGAAATCAGTTTTAGTGCAAGGAGGGAGTTGTTCCAATTCTAGCTACTGAAAGGACGGGAGAATACAGCTAAGTGTATACTGTCTGGAAACATCAGTGTGTAAATTATACTAATCGTCTTACTCAATAAACAGACTTTAATACATTTACCAAGTTGTCGTATCACACTCGTATTTATACCAGGCATCTTACGGTCTCGGGAGACCATCAAAAGACCAATAATTTTGCCAGAGTTCAAAACATTTAAGAAGCTTCCATTTCACACTCACCTGAGTTAGGAACGGTGTGGTAGTAGGAGTTAATAAGGACACATCGTAACTTTGCTTTAAGGCATTACCAGGAACGTGGCAAGCCAGAGCTTAGGTGGGGAGGTGAACGAGCCAGCTGGGAGTCATCACCATCCACACCAGCAGGGCCACCAACAAGCAATATGTGGCCAAGTTTGCTTTACTCTCTTTAATTTAAACTGCACTAGGATTCTTAACGCTGCGATTCACTTATACAATGACATTAAGAATAGCTTAATCTCCATTTTAGGTATTTATCTAAACTCTCCGTGTATATACACATTGACATTTAGACATCTCAGTATATTTTAGGAAATAAAGGCCCCATCTTACCAAAATATATGAGAAACATTACTGGGACAAGCATAAAGTCCTCAATAGTAAACTGGACAAGCACCTCCACCAAGTGTCAAATCAACCAGGCTGTGATGGATATGCGGGCCATCAGGCCAACAGCCTACTTGACCAAACACCAGACGAGCTTGGTCCAGGGCCGGGCTCCGAGAGTAGAAAAACTCGGAACTCATCAAAGGCATGTATATACATTGAAGAATGACCAGAGTTTACTCACTGCCTAAAAGTATTTACAAGTGTACTGAGAGTGCCTAGAAGCCTTTAAAGTGTGTAACTGTGGAGTGATACCTGGAAGGTGTTTCGGGGATCAACGCCCCCGCGGTCCGGTCCATGACCAGGCCTTGCGGTGGATCAGGGCCTGATCAACTAGGTTGTTACTGCTGGCCGCACACAAGCCGACGTACGAACCACAGCTCGGCTGAGCAGGTACTAACTTTGATGGTGAGAACTATATCGTAACACACATGACAAGCGCTGCACCAACTACGTCCATATGTACACGATGAAATATTTCCTTACAAGAGACAGTAGCATGTCTGTGATCCACAATGACCGTTTTCCAGTGTTTTCATACCCTCGCAGCACGGCTTTTCCTTTTGTTTGTTTGTTCAACCAGGCTGTTGGTGTTATTGGCACGCTGGCCCACAAAGCCCTCACAGCATGGTTGATGTGGCATCTGGCTGAGGTAGTCAACCAGTTTCTTTTCAAAGACTTTGATAGCACTGTCACACTAACTGTAATGAGCAGGAGTGCAAATGTAACTCAGTAGGTACATATTACATTCAAGGGTAAAACTCAGCACACTCGTGTCTTCAAAAGTGAGCTCAAGATAATGCTGCAAATGGTTCCTGATCAACCAGAATGTGGTGCCTACATCATTCTGCGAGCTAACAACCAGAAAGCATGGTCAATACAAGCTTCAGCAGGCACAATAATATCAGGAATCACTTGTAAATAGACCAGCTTAATGTGACTAAAAAAAATCACATCGTCAAGAGTATAGATATGATGGAGCTTCATGGAGGTAGTGGAGGCCACAAGAGACGAACCTCTCACGACACATCACGTGGAGGCCATAAGAGACGAACCTCTCACGACACATCACGTGGAGGCCACAAGAGACGAACCTCTCACGACAACATCACGTGGAGGCCATAAGAGACGAACCTCTCACGACACATCACGTGGAGGCCATAAGAGACGAACCTCTCACGACACATCACGTGGAGGCCATAAGAGACGAACCTCTCACGACACATCACGTGGAGGCCATAAGAGACGAACCTCTCACGACACATCACGTGGAGGCCATAAGAGACGAACCTCTCACGACACATCACGTGGAGGCCATAAGAGACGAACCTCTCACGACACATCACGTGGAGGCCATAAGAGACGAACCTCTCACGACACATCACGTGGAGGCCATAAGAGACGAACCTCTCACGACACATCACGTGGAGGCCATAAGAGACGAACCTCTCACGACACATCACGTGGAGGCCATAAGAGACGAACCTCTCAGGGACACATCACGTGGAGGCCATAAGAGACGAACCTCTCATGACACATCACGTGGAGGCCACAAGAGACGAACCTCTCACGACACATCACGTGGAGGCCATAAGAGACGAACCTCTCATGACACATCACGTGGAGGCCATAAGAGACGAACCTCTCATGACACATCACGTGGAGGCCATAAGAGACGAACCTCTCACGACACATCACGTGGAGGCCATAAGAGACGAACCTCTCACGACACATCACGTGGAGGCCATAAGAGACGAACCTCTCACGATACATCACGTGGAGGCCATAAGAGACGAACCTCTCACGATACATCACGTGGAGGCCATAAGAGACGAACCTCTCATGACACATCACGTGGAGGCCACAAGAGACGAACCTCTCACGACACATCACGTGGAGGCCATAAGAGACGAACCTCTCACGACACATCACGTGGAGGCCACAAGAGACGAACCTCTCATGACACATCACGTGGAGGCCATAAGAGACGAACCTCTCACGACACATCACGTGGAGGCCATAAGAGACGAACCTCTCACGACACATCACGTGGAGGCCATAAGAGACGAACCTCTCACGACACATCACGTGGAGGCCATAAGAGACGAACCTCTCACGACACATCACGTGGAGGCCATAAGAGACGAACCTCTCACGATACATCACGTGGAGGCCATAAGAGACGAACCTCTCACGATACATAAACGTGGAGGCCATAAGAGACGAACCTCTCATGACACATCACGTGGAGGCCACAAGAGACGAACCTCTCACGACACATCACGTGGAGGCCATAAGAGACGAACCTCTCACGACACATCACGTGGAGGCCACAAGAGACGAACCTCTCATGACACATCACGTGGAGGCCATAAAGACGAACCTCTCACGACACATCACGTGGAGGCCATAAGAGACGAACCTCTCACGACACATCACGTGGAGGCCATAAGAGACGAACCTCTCACGACACATCACGTGGAGGCCATAAGAGACGAACCTCTCACGACACATCACGTGGAGGCCATAAGAGACGAACCTCTCACGACACATCACGTGGAGGCCATAAGAGACGAACCTCTCACGACACATCACGTGGAGGCCATAAGAGACGAACCTCTCACGACACATCACGTGGAGGCCATAAGAGACGAACCTCTCACGACACATCACTACTTCTGGGTCAACATATATAACTTCTATGTTTCAAGTCCTCAGTGAGCTTCGTGTGGGAAGCTTATCTGTATTATATTACAACTAATATACAGTTCCTACAAGTTAATAACTAGTAATACACCTAGTATTCACTGAAGAAGTCTGCGCCAGTGAAATGTTTCAACAAATTACAAATTACTTCGTTATAGGCTTCATCACTGTATGAGCACTGTAAACACCTTTACTTTTGATGAGTTAGACACACCTGCAACAGTTGGGTATCTTTATTGTTGAAACATTTCGCCTACACAGAAGTAGCAGATGTAGTAATGAAACAAAGATGATGTAATCAGTCCATCAACCTTGGAGAAAAAGTATTCGAGGTGGTCAGTCCCTCAGCCTGGTTCCACACCACGAAGCTGGACTCCTCTCCAGGCTGAGCTATTGGCTGCCTCTGTATTCGACTGTAGAAGCCTACTGTATAGGCGAAACGTTTCAACAATAGATACCCAACTGTTGTAAATGTGTCTTACTCATCAACTTCTGGGAATTTTATACCATTATCAACACACCTTTACCTTTGATGATTTTCGAGAATTTTCCTACTTCCGAAGCCCAGCCTTGGGTCAGGTTTGTCTGGTGCTTGCCTCATCAACCACGCTGTTGCTGCTGACGGCCCACTGGCTCACACACCCATCACAGCCTGTTTGACTGGCACCTGAGGAAAGTGCTTGTCCAGTTTCTTGGATACCATATACAAATAACCCGCACACATAGGAGAGAGACGCTTACGACGACGTTTCGGTCCGACTTGGACTATTTACAAAATCACATTAACACAAAAGAGTGAGGGAGCCAGTATATATAGGCGAGGGAGACAGGGAAGGGACCGAGAGAGGAAGAATAAGAGGCAGTGGTAATGCTGGTATTGGAAGTAGCAGTGGTAGTAGAAAGCAGGGAGAGTAGTTTTAGTGGCACAAGAGACGGGAGAGTGGAAGGTGAACGGAGGCACTAATAGTGGTGGTAGCAACAGTACCAGTAACTGAGTGGTGGTAGTAGTAGAAGTGGGGTAAGTCTAAGGCAAGAAAATGGAGCACTGCAGGAGACCTAATGGCCACAACGGGTAGGACCAAAAACACAGGAAAAAAAAAAAACTGAAGGACAGAACACACTTAGGGAGAAGAAAGGAAAACGAAGAAAAAAACGAAAAAAACTAGGAAAGGAGTAGAAGTCATTTGTATATTGTTACAGTCAGGGTATTGTGCCTCTTTGTTCTCTACACTGAACACCGTACACAGCTTTCACATGGTTTTATGATTGACAAATGTAATATGCTATGATATACTCTTCTTTTAAAGCTTACTGTTTAGCATCCAGACAGTAGGTTAGTTAGACAGCTAATATCCACTAAAGTACT